CTCCAGGCCTTCCCTCTGTAGCCAGGCACGCAGAGGTTTTGGCTGTAGCGGGTGTGACCAACTCTGAAGCCAGCTGGAACTCCGTTCCTGTGTGTTCCTGCCCCCAATAGCCCTGGATTAATGGAATTCATTTAGCAAAAAATTATTAAGAAGAGATTGGATTTATACCCCATGGCCCTTCACTTGGAGTCTTAGAGCGGTTTACAGACTCCTTTCCCTCCCCCTCCCCACAACAGACACCCAGTGAGGTGGGTGGGGCTGAGAGAGCTCTTGACAGAAAAGGCTCTTTTTCAAGGACAGCTCTTGTCAGAACTACGGCTTGCCCAAGGTCACCTAGCCAGGTGCAAGTGGAGGAGGAGTTGTACTGTTATAGATTGTTTTAGAGGCATTGTTTTATTGGTTATAATGTTGTAAGCCGCCCTGAGCCGCTTCGGTGGGAGGGCGGGATAAAAATCAAATAAATAAATAAATAAATAAACCCGGTTCTCCCAGATTAGAGCCCCGTGCACTTAACCACCACACCAAACTGGCACTACACCAAACATTGCATGAATATATAACCTCATGCTACATAATAAAAAACTAAGCCTCATTTCATGATGAATAACCTTTGGACTATACTGTATCTTAAACAGAAAACTACGTTTAGATAGATTTTTCCTCAAAAAGCATTTTATTTTTAAAAATCCAATTTAAATAGAAAAATTCGATTCAAATTTTGAAAATCCATGTTTTATTCTTTATTTTTTTAAAAAAAAATCATTGATTTTTATCCACCCTGGCTGGCTGCGTGTTGCCCCCGAAGGGCAACCTGTCAGAGATTTTGCTGGGGACGCATTTTCAGCCAGTCAGGTGCACGGTACTGAGGCCGCCTTACAGGATGTTACAGCAGTCAAACCATGAACTGTCCCGCTGAAACATCGCTGGGGTGTATAACGGCTCGTCGCCGTTGCCTTCTCTCATCCTGTCGATCAGCTCGATCAGCTCAGCCACCTGGGCCTCCCTCTCGGCTCCTGTCGCATGGTTGTTGAAAGCCAGGTAGCGGTTTCCGCAGAAACGAAGCACCTCCTTGAGGTCCTCGGGTGCCTCGTGTATCTTATCGTGTAGAGTTTTGCCCTTTAATTCTTCCTTCCGGGTGAAGAGGAGGATGGTGTAGTCCCTGGCTCTCACTTTGAGAATCTTCACGACTTCGTCAATGACCTTCTTCTCTTCTGGGGTGAAGCGGTCCAGCTTCAAGACCAGAATGATGGCATGAACTCCCGGGCTGAGGACTGGGACAGAATCCCTGATGATCTTGGAAGTAGCCCGGTTGTCACCCTGAGGATCAAAATAGCCAGGAGTGTCCACGACGGAGATTTTCCTCCCCTTAAAATCACCTTCCTCCTTTGCACAACGCGTTGTTATTGCACTAAAAGAGGAATCAGATGTGAATTTCTCCTTCCCCAGGATGGTGTTTCCCGTTGCGCTTTTTCCTGATCCAGTTTTGCCAACGAGGACGACTGTCAGTTCAGGAGCTGAGGAAAACAATCAAGAAGATCGTGAGACCTGGATACTGGAACCACTTTGTCACCCACTGCCGCTGAGTTAGCGCAGAAATCTGTACCCCGTCTCAAAAACAGGGGGGCTCGGGCGTTTGAAGTATCTGACAGCAGCAAAGCGAGGGAAATGCCACGCTAAAATGTTAAGGTCCCATACTGGGCTGCACTTCGGTGGGGCGTGCACAAGTCCGACCTGGTTTGGCCCCCACCCAGGAGGGGCGCAGGATGTTTCCTCCTTTAGTGTTCCCGTCTTTGCGCCAGAAGGAGCACGAGAGTGAAGCCTCCTTCTCTCAGGAAGCCTCTGGGGTGTTCACGGTGAAAGAATGAGCCGACTGGACAAGTGGCGGAGAGGGTTTGTGCCTGGAGGGCAGACTTTGTGCAAGAGCTGCGTGCAAAGGGCCCTGCTTGGCCTCCTCTCCCTCGGAAGGAACCTCTGGGCTGAAGGAACCTCTGGAGAGGGTGTCTGCTCTCACCTCCTGGCCGCCAGCTGGCCGGCTCCCTGGGGTGCCTGGGGGTGTGTGTGTGTGTGTTCCCCCTTCCAGGGCCTTCCCTTCTAGGAAGACCGAGGGTGAGGAAGGGGGAAGGGAGGGAGGGAGGGAGGCCGTCCACCTGGGCTCCAGAGCGCCCTGCACCTGGCTCATCGAGGGTACAAAGGCAGCTTTACCTGTGGAGACGCCAGCCATGTTAGCCTCTCTGGAGAGCAGTTCCGGGCAGAGGGAGGTCCAAACTCCTGTGGAGAAACACAGAAGGGCAAGCTGTGGGGAGGGGGGAGATGCGGCCATTGCAGGTTTCTCATCCCCCCCCCTTCACCCTCCCGCCGGGTCTCTCACCCCTCCAGCTCCCGGGCGGGGGACATCCAGCGCAGAGGGCGCGTCGCCGCCTCCCGGGTGCCCGAGGCAAGGGCGGCGTTTCTGGCAGCAGCAGCAGCAGCAGCAGCAGCAGCAGAAGGGCCCGAAAGGAGGGCAGCAAGCCCGGCCCTGCGCCTGCCCGCCCTGGGCGGCTGCCCCCCCTCCCCCGGAGGAGGCGGCCTCGAGAGGCAGGCCGGCGGGGCGCCCTGAGTCGAGCGCGGCTCTCCAAGGGGCGCGGCGGGGGGGGAGGGGGGAAGCGCTCCCTCCCGCCCTGTCCCCGCGCCTCTCCCGACGGCTGGAGGGCTGCACCTGCCGGGGCCGGCGAGGGGCTCCGCTTGGCCCGCGTCCGCGCACAGGACCGCGCCTCCGGAGCGCCTTCCTCGTTCCCCGCTCGCCAGACCCTCCTCCGCGGCAGGAGCCGAGGGCTGCGCGCTCCTCGGACCCGTCGGAGCGGGCGGAGGGCGGCGGCCCAGCGCACACGTGACGGCCCCAGAAGCGAAACTGCAGCGGAGACGCCCGTCGGGGAGGGAGGGGGAGCGAAAGAGAGAGGAGGAGGAGGAGGAGGAGGCGGCCAGCCAGTCAGCCAAGCAGGGGCTGCGCCGCGAGGTGAGCCTGGGCGCCGCGGGACGGAGCGCTTCCCGGCGGGATTCGAATCTGGGGGCGGGCGAGGGGAGCTCTCCGAAGGCCAGTCCCTGAGACGGCTCGAGGCGAGTGCGTCGGCGGGGCGGGGACTGCCCGGGCAACAGCCCTCTTGAGGGAGCACGCAGCTCCACCCTCTTCCCCAAACAACCGCCAGCGATCTTTTCTCCCTTTCTGGCCATACAAGAACTTCTTGTGGGCACTGAACGAAGTTGCTGAGCGGTCAGGTTAGAACAGATGGAAGGAGGTCCTTCTTCACCCAAAGAGGGATTAACACTTGGAACTCACTGCCACAGGAGGTGGTGGCGGCGGCTACAAGCAGGGACAGCTTCAAGAGGGAACCGGATAAGCATCTGGAGCAGAGGTCCATCACAGTCTCCTCACATCAGCTGATTAAGAGTTTATTCACAGGGTGCATCCCCTCTCCCATCCTCTGACTTGGAGGCTTAATTTGGCCATTAAGGCCCTGACTTGAGATCCATTTGAACCATTTCATGAAGTTCTTTGAAGGCAATGATGTTAAAGACCCCTTTTCCTGGTCTCCGTGACTTCAGCCCGTAGGGTCTTATGAATAGGAGTCCTCTCCATCAGAAAGGTCTTGGGTGTGTTCCATTGGAACATGGTGATTTTGCAATTAGATCTGACCTCCTTGTCCAAGATTGACTTGCATGTTCCACGGATCTGACAAGATCTCCCTCCCTACCTCTGTCCTAATCCATCACACTAGAGAACTGTGGCTTGCCCAGGGTCATCAGCAGGTGCAAGTGGAGGAGTGGGGAATCAAACCGCACACTTAACCACCACACCAAACTGTAAAGTAGTAGCAAGATCAGTAGAGTAAGATCACTTCCACGCTGTCATTTCCCACCACAGACAAATGGGAGATGAAGACACCAGCCAGTTTCTAGAGTTAAATTCTCTACATTGTTTGTGACACTTGAAAGAGTTAAACCTTTTCATGTGAACCTGAAGTTTACTAAATTAATGTATGCCGTGGCTGTGGAACATTCACCAGTGAAAAGGTTCGATCAACTTATCTCCCACATTGCGCCTCACGTTAGCAGCATTCACCAATGAACCAAACACAGAGAGGGGGCAAGGAAGGCCCAGTGGCCCATGTATGTGCCTTGCCTGATTTGTCTTTTTGAGTACACATTTCTTTTAACGAGATGTGTGGCAGAAAGGAAGGTGGGCAGGGGGGTGAGTCACCAAGTCACCCGGGCACAGGGTGCTTTAGAGCTTACAGGTGCAGATACCCAGACCATCTCACACTTTGCTAGAATATCACACCTGAAGGGACAGACATCTGGACACCCAAATGGCTAGACAGTAATTTTTCCTCTTGAAACAGGAGGATCAGAATGAGCCCAGAAGGGGTGGACACTCTTATCAGGAGAGATTATAAATTCTCAGGACATGAGATAGAAGCTATTTCTTATCTTGCAGCTTGTGGCCAGGGAAGGTCAAGTCCTCAGAGTCTAAGTCTTTACTTCAGGACTCCCATCTTCTCCACGTGGCCAGGGACAATCGGAGAAGTCCCAACTCTGAGACCAAAGGTAATGATAGATTTAAATGCTCCAACTTCAGAAGTTACTAGTCTATCCTAGCAACTACATTGCTAGAATAAGTACTGAGTGGGGGGTGAGAAAACTGCATATCTTCACTTTTTCTTTGTATCCTTACTCGAGTGGGGGGGGGGGGGGGAGAAAGCAGGTGCAAGGTGAACACCTTGCACTTGCTTTTTTCCTTTTTTTTTTCCAGTGAGGTTTTTCTGACCTCCTGAAACCAAAAGGGACTGGGGCATGCAAGTTCATTCCTTGACTGACTCATTCATACATGCAAAACACCACTTGGGTATCATCTGTATGAACTAGTCCTAAACACCAAGGTTTCCCTCTTGTGGTTATTACCCTTTGAAACAGCCTTTTTCTTTGTATCCTTACTCGGCCTGATGCTGGAATATAACGATGTGTACTATTTTTTTTTTTTAGTTTATTAAATGGTCTTATGTTTGGAATGCTTGCAGCCTGATCGCTATAAGCACACCATACCTATTTGGTCTTGCTATCCAAAGTGCTGTAAGGGGGAAAGGCAGTGGGTGAGCATGCCACACCTGGAGTGCATTAGCTTGAAACTGAGGAGGCATGATTGATTGTCCCCATTCTAGCTTGTAGAAGCAAAGTGAGAGATGCAGAGCCTCTAAACACCAATGTAGGAATAGAGTGCTGGATGTGCAAATCCAGCCAACGAGAGATTCTTCGATTTGCTGGTGGCAGTGGCTACTACTCTCTGAGAGGTTTTGATTCACCCTGGGTGTAAGGGAAAAGGGGGTTGTCACCAAGCAGAGGCTTGGGGTGACAGTAAGGTTTTTCTGGAGAAAGGGGGGGGGGAGAAAGCAGGTGCAAGGTGAACACCTTGCACTTGCTTTTTTCCTTTTTTTTTTCCAGTGAGGTTTTTCTGACCTCCTGAAACCAAAAGGGACTGGGGCATGCAAGTTCATTCCTTGACTGACTCATTCATACATGCAAAACACCACTTGGGTATTGGTGTCATCTGTATGAACTAAACACCAAGGTTTCCCTCTTGTGGTTATTACCCTTTGAAACAGCCTTCCTGAGGTCAAGAAGGCTCCCAGACTATCTCATGTCTTAATATTTGACAGGGGAACATGGGCTGCGTTGTCTTCTAATATTGCTGTATCGTTCATTGGATGTCTTAGAGTGCCTGACCGCGTTGTCTTGAGTCCCAGCAGGAAAGGTGGGCCATAACTGAAGTGACTCAGTGGCAGTGTTCTTACTCACTTCTAAAATGTGATGTTAAGTGACAGTGTGGCCAATAAGGTGCTGAGTGTGGCAAAGGAGGAATTAACTGACAGCTAAGTTTGTCATCCAGCTTTATTGCATTGTTTTTTGTATGCGTATACTGCTTTTTTGCATTGTTTATAACTGTGTAATCTGCTCAGAGTCTCTATGAGAAAGGCATACTGTAAAGGAACTAAATAAAAATAAATACACATCTTGTAGCCTTCATTGCAAAACGAAGTTGTAAAAAATACAGGTTATGCAGGTTTACTAAGCGTGAATGGTTTTCTCCCATTTGTGATCTCTTTCAGTACATTTTGGTTATGTGAGTGGGCTCTAACCCACAAAACATCTGATGGAATAACGTTTTGCTAAAATCCAACTCTTTAAAGTGTCACTAGACTCTTCTTTGTTTCAGTACCTTGGTCTGCATTCAGCATAACTTTTTCCATATTCTTTTCCAGCTCTAGGAAAGGCTAAAGACAATTAGCTCCAGATCTCCCGGTAAGATCTTTCTCAGCAGTTTGAATTTTTGCTGCTTGAAACTTGTGAAAGTCACATAATGTATTTGTAGGACTGGACTGAGATGCCACCAATGTTCCCTCTAAGCTGTGGTGTCTTGTGAGCAAAAATTCTACTCTGTGAGCTACTGGCATGAAATTTGTGAGCGAGCGATTTGGCTACTGCATAAATCAGTTGGCCCTGGAGCCATCCTTCCTGAGCGAAGACAAAAATCTGTGAGCTGGAGGCTGAAAACCTGTGAGCTGGCTCACACTAACTCGGCTTAGAGGGAACACTGGATGCCACTGGACCGAACTGTAGATGGCCAGGACGAAATGCTGACCCACAGAGAGGAAGCTCACAGACCCTCTTTATTTCATGGAATCCCAGAGGTGGAAGAACCAACAGAAACAGCGCCCCCTGCTGTAAAGCAGGCCTTCTCTGCCTAGAGTGGAATGGCAAAATGCTTTTGATGTGACTGGCAGGAGGTGTGGTCAAACTGGTGAAATTGTTCATGTCTGATCATATCCTGATTTTGCTGCCATTAATGTTCTCCAAGAGGTGAACTGATGACGATGTATTGTTAGAGTCAAATATTTGACTGGTGGGTGATGTTATGCAATTCAAGATATAGCCAAATTCTTGGGAGTTGCAGAATTCCATGTCTGTTTTACCCTCCGCCTGCAAAGCGACCAGCAGTCTGTAGTGGGATAAATTAATATACATTGACTTTAAAAAGAAATCTTATTAATGTTTTAATTGTTTCATCTTGATGTTTTTATGAACGATGTACATTGCCCAGAGGATTGGGCGATTAACAAATTTAATATATAAATCTACTCCCACCTCCTGTCTCACACAGTGGCCAACCAGTTCTTCTTAGCGGTCGAACAACAGGGCATAGAGGCCAAGGCCTTCCCTTGATGTGGACCCCTGCCCCTGGGTTCAGAGAATTAGTGCCTCTGAATGTGGAGGTTCCCTTCAGTTGCCATAGTTAGTAGCCATTGATAGACCTTTCCTCCATGAATCTCTCTAATCCCCTTTTAAAGCTGTTTATTTCTGTTGGCCATCATGACATCCTCTGGCAGCGAATTCCACATTTTGATCACTCTCTGTGTAAAGAAGCATTTCCTTTTGTCTGTCCTGAACCTACTGCCCACCAGCTTCATTGGATGCCCCACTAGTTCTAGTCTTTTGGAAGAGGGAGAAAAAGTTCTCTTTGTCAACTGTCTCCATCCCATGCATAATTTTATAAACCTCTATCACGTCCCCCCTTAGTTGTCTCTTTTCCAAATGAGGCCACACCATAGATCTATATGTGACATTACAATATTGGCCATTTTATTCTCAATCCCTTTCCTAATAATCCCTAAAGTAGAATTTGCCTTTTCCCCCACTGCGGCACACTGGCTTGACACTTTCATTGAGCTATCCACTACGACCCCAAGATTTTCTCCCTCTCAATCTCAGCAAATTGAGACCCTATTTGAAGTGGGGATTTTTTTGTCCCAACGTGCATTACTTTACAATTTCATTTGCCACATCGTCGCCCACTCTCCCAGTTTGTGAAAGTCCTCTTGGAGCACCTCTTCGAGCACAGTCAGCCTTGGTTTTCACCATCCTGAATAATTTGGTGGCATCTCCAGACTTCCGTTTCTTTCTTCCAGTGCCCCATTTTGGAGCCACTTCCAGGTGCTTTTGTTATCAGCTTTATTCTCGGTGTCTTTCAGATATTGCCCAATGCAAGGGCTTTTGTTTCCAGTTGTCAAGGTATCATCACCATCATCAGGCAAATCTGTTAATGTCACCATTGTAATGCAGGAACCCTGCAAAACTGAAAATGAGTGCGCCGGCGGGTCTGGCAGGCGGGCCCCGTCGCCCCGGGGGAGGGGAGGGGAGGCACACCGCTGCCAGGGCTCCTTCTCTCCTGTTCCGCAGTGCCGCGTCGCCCCCCCCCTGGCCCGAAGCCTCAGTGGAGTGGCTCCGCGACTGCCCTCGCCGGTTTGCGTGCCCAGAAATGGCGATTCCAGACCAGCTGCGGCTCGGCCGCGCCCTTCTTCTCATCCGGCAATTGTTTTAAACAGCAGGGCAGAAAGAGACCCCCTGAGTCCATCCCTGGTTTTGGAGGGACGTCTGGGGCCCCTCGATAGGACCCTTCCCGGATTCCAGCCGCAAGAACAGAGAGGGAGCTGGAGCAGAAGCGGTGGTCCTCCTCGCCCTTCCCCGCTTGAAGCAGGGTTATATTTACAGCATCACTCCTTCTCATCTTCTTTTCTAATTCTAGGAGGAGGGCGAATCATGCTGGAACACGTCTTTCGGTGGTCGTTACAGCAGATACAGTGGCTTAGAAGTTCCTTTGGTAAGACCCTCGCCAGCAGTTTTGGAGAGGCCTGTGATGATTTGGAGATTGCCCAGCAGAAACGGGTGTGTGTGTGTGTAAATGCCTGGGATGGCTCCTTCCCCTTGGCAGTGAAGGATGGCACCACTGCGAGCCTCTGCATATTTCTTCAGCTGCCCTCACTTCAGCAGTCCAATACTGTTCCGCTTGAGCAGCCGTGGCTCAGGTGAAGAGGCTCTTAACTGAGGGTTGTTGTTTCCCAAAGTCTTCAAAGTAAGCAGCTATCAACCCTTTATGGGAAAAGCCCTTAAGGTGTAATGGGCCCCGCTTTTGTTGTTCTTCAGTCGCACAGTCGAGTCCGACTCTTCAAGACCCCATGGACCACATCACGCCAGGCCCTCCTGTCTTCTGTCATGCTCCGGAGTTTGCTCAATTTCATGTTCGTTGCATCTATGACACTGTCTAACCATCTCATCCTTTGCCGTCCCCGTCTTCTTGGACCTTCAGTCTTTCCCAGCATCAGGGTCTTCTCCGGTGAGGGCTCCCTTCTCATTGGGTGGCCAAAGTATTTGAGCTTCAGCTTCAGTCTCTGGCCTTCCAGGGAACAGTCAGGGTTGATTTCTTTGAGGACTGATTCAATCTCCTTGCAGTCCAGGGGACTCTCAGGAGTCTTCTCCAGCACCATAATTCAAAAGCATCTATTCTTCGGTGCTCGGCCTTCCTTATGATCCAACACTTGCAGCCATTCAGTCCTACTGGGAATACCATTGCTTTGACCATATGGACTTTTGTTGGCAGGGTGATGTCTCTACTTTTTATGATGCTGTCTAGGTTTGCCATCGCTTTCCTCCCCCGGAGCAGGTGTCTTTAAATTTCATGGCTGCAGTCACCGTCTGCAGTGATCTTGGATCCCCGCACACACCAGTCTTTTACCACACAAAATGTGGAATTTCTTAACTGGCCCAGATCTCAAGTTGCCGGTCCCCAGTGAGGCAGGGTTTCCCCCATGCCCAGAACTTCTCAGGCTTACCTTCTGCTGCCCCCAACAGGTCAATAGGGAAAAGCGCACTTGCCTGGCAGATCTGGATGCTGTCTCCTATACCCCTTGTCAAGCAGTTCTGAGAAGGACTGTTTGAGTGATTGATTGTTCATCGTTTCCATGTGTGTAGTGTAGCCAGGAGATCCTACAATTGTCTGGCAGCCAGAGGTTCCAGCTCTTTAGCATTATCCAGTGTACAGCATGAGGAGGCAAGCTAGAATTACACCCTTGCATCATCTAGTCCAACCCCCTGCACTCTGCAGGAGCACAGCTGAAAGATAGCCCTACAACGTATCTGAAAGATGGTCATCCAGCCTCCGCTTGAAAATGTCCAGCGAAGGAGCACCCACCACCTCCCGAGCCAGTCTGTTCCACTGCTCAGCCACTTTGCATGTGGTTGCAAAGACGAGACTACTAGGATTTCGCAAAAAACATGTCTCTCTGACTTTCCTCCCACCTCCTTCCAAATATGTCCTCCTTCTTAAAGGGGAGAGCTGCTTATCCCCCTCAAAGGCCACAGGCCACCGCCTGTGGGTAGGGCGGGGTAGAAATACTTGAATAAATAAAATAAAAAATAAAATTCATGGGAAATTGTCGGCTCAGGGAGGCGAAATGAGGTTCCGGCCCTTAGAAAAGTTCTGTGCCACCTCTGCAGAATACCTGCTCAAGGCAACTTACAAAATAACTGAAATATAATTTCAAAAGCACGATAAAAGTGAACAATGAAAGGTCCATTATTTAAAAAAACCAACTGGGTGGTGGTGGAAGGGCAGCATAAAACACTGAGCAGTTCAAAAAGAGCCTCATAAAACAAAACAGCATTAAAATCGACTCCTTGATGTCTGAAAACAGTTTTGGCTGACACCTAAAAAAGGAGAGTGGAAGCGCCAGGTGAACCTCAAGGGAAAGGGCGTTCCCTAAGCAAGGAGCTGCCACAGAAAAAGCCCTGTCTCTGGTTGCCACCCCCCTCACCTCTTCATGTTGGGGGCACAGAGAGCTTGGGGCCTTGAGAGGCTGACCTTGGCTGGTGGGCTGGACACTATGGGAGGAGATGGTCCTTCGATGTGTCCTTGCCTCAAGCCATTTAGAGCCTTAAAGGTAAGAATCCACACTTTAAATTGTGTCAAAAGCCAAATGGGCAACCAGCGCTGATTTTTCAGCACCGGGGTGAAGAGAGACCTCAGAGGCCACACTTTAAACTGTGCCCAGAACCAACCCTTGACAGTAGCCTGGCCACCACGTTTTAGACCAGTTTTCTAAACCAGGTGTGTCAAACATACAGCCCACAGGCCAGAACCAGCCCCTGCAGGGCTCCTATCTGACCCATGAGCAACTGCTCTCGTTTGCTTCCTGCGTCGCAGCTCACTTCAGCCCAACTCTCTTCTCTCCTGCTTCCTGCTTCACTAGCGTTGGTATTGCAGTGCTTCATCCGGGTTCTCGACAGGTTATACTTCATTGTCAGTACTATGGTTGCAAGAACATGGTCACTCTTAGGAATAGCTAGCACCGGACAAGCATATAGAGCCAATCGGCCCGTTTCCCGCAGGCGGAAAGGACTAAGGGACGTCCCAGCATAGTCGAGGTTGGGAAGCGAAAGCATTCTCACAGTTAATTAATGTGGAAACACTATAGAGGCAAAAATACAAGGTCAGAGATAACACTGGAGGAAGAAGGGGAAAGGAATTTGGCGCCACCGTGTACACAGGTCAGGCAGGCGAACCCTAGGCTATAAACAATATGGCTGCAGAGCTGACACCTCTAAGCTGTGGAGTCTCGTGAGCAAAACTTCTGCTTTGTGAGCTCCTGGCATTATAGTTGTGAGTGAGCTATTTGGCTACTGCATACATTAGTTTGCTCTGGAGCCCTCCTTCCTGAGCTGAGACAAAAATCTGTGAGCCGGAGGCTAAAAGACTGTGAGCTAGCTCACACTCACTCAGAGGGAACATTGCTCATGATTTTGCCCATCAGTGTAAAATTCTGGAAGAAGCCCGCCAGAAGAGGCTCAGCCAGTAGAGCGGGGTTAACATATCAAAGAAATTCTATAGTTTGACTCCTGACTGCAAAATCAGGCCTCAAAGCTGGTCAGCCTTCATAATTTAATTTTTAAATGTTATTTAATGTCCTTTTCTTTGTGTGTCTGTCTGTCTCCTAATCTCCTGCCAAGCTAGCAGTTTGAAAGCAAGAAATTGCAAGTAGATAAATAGGTACCACTTCGGTGGGAAGGGAACAGCGTTCCGTGTGCCTTGGTGTTTAGTCATGCCGGCCACATGACCACGGAAACGTCTTCGGACAGCTCTGGCTCTTCGGCTTTGAAACGGAGATGAGGAACGCAACCCTAGAGTCGGATTCGACTGGCTTTCAAGCAAGGGAACCTTTACCTTTACCTTTTTAATGTCCACACAGTGAGTCAGTACAGTCAACAAAATCGGACATTCAATAACCAGTGCAGAAGGATGTTAGAAGTCTGGCACATTAAGAGGTACATAATTTACATGTAGGATCCTACTTACTGTGGACTCTACACAGCAGTCTAGTCCCTAATCCAAATGACGTTGTGTATTTGAAGAAGTGAGTGGTGACTCACAGAAGCTCCTCCCCTGCCCACAAATTGTGTTAGTCTTTCAGGTGCTCTACTGCTACAGACAGACTAACGTGGCCGTGAAAGGCACCACATTTAGCCGTACAGAATGGACATTAATCAACCATGTGATATAAGGACAAGGGACTCCAATTCCAGCTGTATCTGAAGAAGTGAGCAGGGACTCACGCAAGCTTCTCCCCTGCCACACATTTATGTTCGTCTTTAAGATGCTCCTGGACTCTGGCTCTTTTCTGCTGCTACAAACAGACGAACACGGCTGCCCATCTTGATCTGTGAACTATTCTGTACGTAAATGTCCTGCCCCATCTGCTGACATCCATCACATGCTTATTACTCTTTCTGTCCACTGAGTCTTCACTCTTTGCCTGGCCTCCTATTTGCCCCCCCAGAAAGAAGCATTTCTCCCCTTGTACAGGCAAGCCTGTCGGCCCGTCCTTGATTTTGAAAAGCTCCCTGGTAAGTGATACAGTGCTATGTGACAGGCCTGTGCTTTGATGGACCCCTGGACTGGGTCAGCATACGCCACCATTGTATGCTCCTATATTCATGTTCATAGGATAATAGCACCCTCACTCAAAAATCCCAATTTTTTTAAGGCACATCTGTAAGAAAATAAACCAACATGCTAACTAGAAAATGTGTGGGGAGGGAAGACATGTGGAATACCCCGTTGCTCAACACAGTTCCAATGCTGGGGGACAGCTAAGAAAAGCAGGAATAAGTTATGCATGGGGGAAACCTCAAAGTTGCAGCAAGGGAACTTTTTATTTCCTAGAGCTTAAAAGGGAGTCCTACAAGTTGTTCCCAAATAAAGTGGGAGGGGGGATGTTGTACTCCACCGAGGGGGGAGAAAATCCCTGTGTGGCAACAGCCCAGACTTTGTTGTGATGCATCCCAAAACATCACAATGCAGTAGCTTTGGGAAAGATTATGGGAAAGGGGAGGCCGTAGGTGCACAAAAGCCTCAGAATACTGTCAGAAAGTGGGGAAAGCTCCGCTTCCAAATAGCATCCACTCATGCGTAAGTAGCCTAAGGGACAACCAGTATCAGGTAGTTCACTGTCAGGTGAAGAGTTAATAATTTTGGTGGAATTGTGTTCTGTTTTTGCTGCTCTGCTTCTCCATTTTACCCTCACAACAATCCTGTAAGGTAGGTTAGGCTGACAGTGTTTGTGGCTAGTTGAAGGTCGCCCAGTGGGTTTCTGTGGCAGAGGGGGTGATTCTAACCTGGCTCTCCCAGACCCACATCTGACACACTAACCGCAACATCACGCTGTTCAAGGGTGTGGCTGAAACCCAAGGGGGAAAGTAAGGGGGGGGTGGAGGGGGCAGTTCATGAAATTCAGGCCAGACCTCCTGTGTGATGAGGTGTTGGAAGGATCCTGCCTGAGAAGTTCCAGCTGTCCACAAGCAAAGTGAGCGCATTCATCACCACGAGTGGATTTTCTCCTGGATCCCCCAGCCTTGTTATCTCTACAGTTTAGTTGAGTGTGTTTCCGTTCCAGTCCAAAGATCATAACTGACAAGTTTTCTCTTTACAGCAATAATAATAAATGCAGTTATGAAATATGCTGGACCAGGAAGGAGCATTTGTGAGAGTACCGAGGAACCAGAGCTGCGCATCATCCTTGTCGGGAAGACAGGAACAGGGAAAAGCGCAACGGGAAACACCATCCTTGGGGAAGAGCATTTTGACTCCAGGTTCGAATTCACCCCAGTGACACAGACGTGCCAGACGGGTGTCAGAGAATGGAAGGGGAAGCGAATTGTTGTGATCGACACACCACCGATCTTCAGTTCTGGTTCCTCACTGGATGCCCCTGAGATTGTCAGGTGCCGCGATCTCTCCCAGCCAGGCCCCCACGCTCTGGTGCTGGTGACCCAAATGGGTCGTTTCACCGAGGAAGACTATCAGTCGGCAGAGCAGGTGAAGAAGATCTTTGGCAAAGAGGCCCGTGAATACATGATTGTCGTGTTTACCCGCAGAGAAGATTTGCGCAGTGAAAGTCTGGAAGAATACGTAGAAAAGACAGGCAACAAGCACCTCCAGCGAGTGATGAGTGAATGCAGCAGCCGATACTGTGGTCTGAACAACAGCGAAACAAGAGAAGTGCGGGGAAGACAAGCTGAGGAGCTGCTCGGGAAGATTGAGGGGATGGTGCAGAAGAATCAAGGCAGGCCCTACCGTGCTGTGTAACTGGAGGGGGGGGGGGGCAACCAGGTCAATGTTTCCTCTAAGCTCCACAGTGCTGTGAGCAGAAATACTACCTTGTGAGCAAAAAAAGGCTACCGGCATTAAAGTTGTGAGCAAGTCTACATTTGACTATTGCGCAAATTATTTTTAGGAAGATTATTTCCATAACCTTGTTAAAATCTCAGAATAAATTCTTTTAAACTATATTTTAAGAATAATTTAAACATTCTAAGAGACAACAGAATCAAGTCAAATTTCATTACACAAAATGTCTTCTGTAGGGGTAGACCAGACCTCCGGAGAACAGGTCTACCCACCCTGTTCCACTATATTGGTAGACCTGACATCTGGAGAACAGGTCTACCTCGCCCCTTTCCACTATATTGGTAGACCTGGCCTTGGAGTGTTGTCCTGTGCTGACCCTTAAAAAACATAGCAGCACTTGGTGGTGGTGGGGGGGGACACCTCTTGCAGTCTACTTTGGGTTTTTTAAGTGAAATACGACCACCAGCATTACAGGTCAAGTATAACAAGAGATGGAACAACCACTGTTAGAACCCTGCCTAACCTAACAAACAGGAAGTTGCTTAAATAATATCAACCAGCCCAAACTACTTATTTATTCAAATATTTATATCCCATTTTTCCCTGTGACAAGGCAGCTTACAAATCATACTGAAAAGCATAATAAGGGTGTGCAATATATATATATATATATATATATATGTTTTTTTCCTGGCTCAATTATAGGCCTCAATTATAGGCTCAATTATAGTCAATAGACCCCATAGGCCTATAATGGAGGATTGATCCAGGGATATCTGGGGTTGGCTGTTTTTTGAGATAGACAAAATTTGCAGCATAGTTGCTGGTGCCTCTCCTCAACCCCCCCCTCCATGTTTTGAAAAGATTGGACCAGGGGACCCAATTCTATGGGCCCTAGAAGGAGGCGCCCACATCCTCCATCGTTTCCAATGGAAGCTGATTGTGAGCAGAAGCAGAAATCCTCGAACTGTCGTGCGCCAGCGCCCCCTAGTGCAGCTTAGAGCAAACTGTGGTGAGGGTGCCTTGCACTTTACCCAACTACAATCCTGCCCCCTAATAGCCTGTGGTCTCCTAAGCCTGTTGAGGTGTCCTGAAAGCCACCTGCCTCTTTCGAGACACCAGCCAAAAACCAAGCACCCTCTTCAGCCATTTGCACCTGGTCACCCCCCTGCAGCATGGACCCACGCACTGCTGTTGAGTCTTTCTTCCCTGTCCCCTGGCACTGGGAGGGGGAGGATAGCACGAAGGTGCTTTGGCTGCACTTGGGAGGCAGCAGTTTTGCCGCTCACAAGGATTTGTGGGTGTTGCTGGAGTTGCTTGGGACTCTGGTGCGCTTGCTATGCAATCTGGTCCTTGCGGAGGGGCATGTGTTGTCCTCCCCTCCATGGAATGTTCAGCATCTGCCCACCACGGTGACCCTCACGACTGGGCTGCCCATCAACTCCAGCCTCCCGTGCATCCTGTGGAAACAGCTGACAGATCCATTTTGTCCTTAAGTCCCCAAGGGGACATCGTTTTCAGCATGTGGATCCAAAATGTTTTGTGTTCTTTACATCAAGATTGGCCGCTGTGTGAGTCTGTCTGTAGCAGTCAAAAAGAGCAAAAGTCCAGGAGCACCTGAAAGACTTTGTGGCAGGGGAGGAGCTTTTGTGAGCCACTGCTCACTTCTCCAGATACATCTGTAACTGAAGAAGCAAGCAGTGACTCCCGAAAGCTCCTCCCCTGCCACAAATTCTGTTAGTCGTCATGTCTTTAAAGTGCTTCTTCTATGGCCACTGCTTTATATCCAGAACTCTGTATCATTTCTATTGCAAAAATACACTGATGGTCTATGTGAGTGATGTAAAAAAAAAATGCCCTGTAAACAAGGCCTCCAGGAATCCAGTCCTAGGCCCGCTTTTATGTTCTGAAATTCTAATCCTCAAAGTTCTGATTCTTTTGTCTTCATCTCTAGCATTTGCACACAATGACATAAATCACACCTCTGGAGTTGCTATTACGGCACTCCTTATCCCCCCTCAGAATGGAAAATTCTGAACATTGTGCACAAGAAGAGCAATATTCACGCTCATAACTCCAAGACGTCTGAATGCACTGATTTATCAGCAAGAGTAATTTGAAAGCAAGAAACTGCAAGTAGATAAATAGGTACTGCTTCGGTGGGAAGGTAACAGCGTTCCATGCGCCTCGGCATTTAGTCATGCCGGCCAAATGACCATGGAAAAATCTTCAGACAGTGCTGACTTCAGCTTGGAAACAGAGATGAGCACCGCCCCCTAGAGTCGGATTCGACTGGCTTTCGAGCAAGGGAAACCTTTACCTTTAATGTTCAATGGGAACCTACACAAAGGAAAGCATGGCGACTAGAAGTATCTTGAACCGAAGGCCAACGTTTATACATAACATGTCTACTCTAATAAGAAAGTGGCTGATATTTTGTAGACCAGGGGTGTCGGACTCATTTGTTGTAAGAGTCGGATCTGACATCAATGAGGCCTTGTTGTGCTGGGCCACGTGTGTCATAAAATGTAATGCCAGGTAGCGGAGATATAAACTTTATAAAGGACATAAATACAAAGGGTTTTTTTCAACTTAAAATAAAAACATGCTGAAAGCCTTAGCACTCTTGCAATATTTTGCTTATTTAACAGTGCCTGATAACTGACACCTCTTGCTCTGAATTATTGCATCAAAATGTCTGTGCTGTTGCAATCCTGAGTATGCTGTTCAGGTGTGTATCTGTAAGCTGCAATGATGCAGCAGCAGCAGAACTGGAAAAAAAGCAGAAGACAGCCAGTTCCACTGTTGGTCTGATAGAAGCCCTCCGGGGGCCTGATCCGGCCCCTGGGCTGCATGTTTGACACCCCTGCTGTAGACCAAAGGAGATTAGTAGATGGGAAAGATGGTCTCCTCTTAAACAACTGGGGCTTTTGGATAATCAGTGTATCTAATTCTCAACAAGGTCCCATTGGTGGAGACTTTCATATGATGATTGGGGCCATGTAGAAAAATAACCTTGAATAATCTTTTTTTTTTGCCCCCCGTAGGGGATTTTTTATTTACATTTTCTAAAAACCACAACGAAATTAGGGAGGGGATCTACAAAAGAAAACCCACTAAAAACCCAAGAGTTGGAGGTCATACACTGCTTGTAAAAATATTAGCTTAACAATATAACAATTGCTTTTCTTAACATTGAGAGTGATCAATCATCATCAACCTTGAATAATCTTATGGGGGAACCCACCTGCCCAGCAAGAGACTCAGCCATAACCTCATAATTTGTTCTGGCAGAGCCAGTTTGGTGTAGTGGTTAAGAGCACAGACTCTAATTTGGGAGAACCGGGTTTGATCCCCCACCCCTTCTCCATGTGCAGCTGCTGGTGTGACCTTGGGTCAGTCACAAGTTCTTTCAGAGCTGTTCTCTCAAGGGCAGTTCTCTCAGAGCACTCTCTCAGCCCCGCCTACTTCACAGGGTGCCTGTTGTGGGGAGGGGAAGGGAAAGGAGATTGTAAACCACTCTGAGACTTCGGGTAGTGAAGGGCCATAGGGTATAAATCCAATCTCTTCGCTTCTTCTCTCTCTTCTTTTGTCAACTGTGAAAACTGACTGTAAGATAAATTCTCTTGAAGATGCTTTGGATTGCATTGTAATATAGGAATGAATTCCTCTCCGTGGGTTGAGAACACACTTTCACTTGTACGGTGGAATTATTTTGTTTCACCATCCAAGAATTGAATATTCGTACAGTCATGATGACAATGAGCAAATGGAACGTGTAGACTTACAAAATTCACCAGTTGACAAACTCTCCCGCTCTGTGTTGGGGTGAAAAGATTATAAAGATGTCATCAATATATTGCCCATAATATTTATAAGATCGGTGAAACGGAATTTGACTGGGATTTACATAATGAATTGATTATTATTGTTGATATTGCATGTAATGAATATATACCTGTTTTAAGATATTATAAACAGCACACAATGCACTTTATAAGATGGAACAAATCGAACATTCAGTAACTGCCTTGAGCCAAGAAGAAAAGTGGAGTATCCATATTTTGAGAAAATAATAAAATGTATAAATCCTTACTCTCGGGGCCTCTCAGTAGCCCAGAACCACCAATTTGATCTGAAAACAGAATTACTTGTCAAAACAAAAATGGTTTTTATATTGAACTGCAGCCAACAGATCCAGCAGGAAATACGGGGCTGGATCCGCTACATGCCCAGTACTCGAAAAACAAACAAAACCAAATCCCCCACAACACACCACCCTATAGCAGGCTTGGCTTTATCACGGAGTGTAGACATGTATGAAGAACTAACATCCAGGGACCCTGTCCGAGAAGGAGGAACAATCCTGATGCCAGCAAGCCAAGATGAAGCATAGAATCACCGAATCACACAGAGTTGGACGGGGCCATACAGGCCATCTAGTCGTCCAACACCCCCTGCTCAATGTAGGATCAGCCTAGAGCATCCCTGACAAGGGTTTGTCCAGCCGCTGCTTAGAGACGGCCAGGCAGGGGGAGGCTCACCACTTCCTGAGGCAGGTGGTCCCGCTGTGGCACAACTCTTACTTAGTCAAAAAGGTTTCCCTAATGTCCAGCCGGTACCTTCCCCCCCCCTTCATTTAAACCCATCACATTGCGAGTCCTCCTCTCCTCTGCTGCCCACAGGAACAGCTCCCTGCCCTCCTCTTAAGTGGCAGCCCTTCAAAGACTCCAAGAGAGCCATCACCTTCCCCCTCCGCCTCCTCTTCTCCAGGCTGAACGTTCCCAAGAAGCCCCTCAGCCTCTCCTCGCAGGGCTTCTGGGTCTCCAGCCCCCCCCATCATCCTCAAAGCACCCTAGGTCCCCCCCCCCCG